GGCTGAATTTTGTTTCCCTATAAATGAGACACGGCGCATCAGATAGGCTATTTTTTTTCGACAATTCGCTGAGTCCTTCTATCGATTTATTGATTTTGTTTACTAAAATCTAGGAAAATGAAGGCTATACCATTCATTTCTCCAACTTAAGTAGTAAGGGGTGGTAGAGATCATTTACATTTTGCGGTGAGGAGCATGCGGTGTCATGAAGCGAGCCGGTCAAGAAAGAAAGCTATTCACCACGGATACTACTCGAGCGCTGGAACTGACAAGGAGGTGAAGCAGGAGAGTCACAGAAGATGTGAACTGAAGAAAGTGGAGGACTGGTAAGTATACATCTTAAGGCACACCCTATGCTGGGCCATTCTGGACTCTCGGCCCGGGCGAGACCGGGGACCGCAGCTAGTAGCTTGCTAAAATCGGGTTCGAAACAGCGAAGAAAAAGGTTCCAGAGCCAAATGCCCCGCGCCCCGCGTTTGGGGTAGCGAGGTAGCGCGCAGCACACGGAGACGCAGACGAGCAGCGGAGACAGACCAGAGCCGACGGGGCATTTGGCTCTGGTTCTCAACGAAACCGTGCAAGATTATATATCATTCTGATCGTCATGACACGAAGAGGAGCACTGACAATGCAAGCTTTGAAAACCACTCATTAACGAGATAGACCAGCGTTTTCCTGCGCGACTCTCTGCGCAAGATTTAAGCGCAGTTTCTCGCTTTTGTTTAACTCCAACAGCTTTCCTAAACTTCTGAAATTCGATTTTGGTCAAATAAGAGGTTAACGGAGAAATGTTGTCCTGTATTCTGGCAAAAATTTCACAGAAGCCTTCTTTTTAACGTAGAAAAGGCTATGAAAACGCAAATTCTCGGTTTCGCCGAGATAACCTAAAGATATTATTTCCTATATTTGCTTCATCAACATTCGTTCCGATATAGTCGATAATAACATCCGGGGCGAAGCCCCGGATATCCTCTCATAGCCCTCAAGGTGAAGGTTACCTGAGTACGTGGCTCTACGTGTAAAGGGTATGCCTATAGATCAAAAACATCCTTCAAATATCTGAGAAAAATGATGCAAATTATCTCGGATGATTGGATTGCGCTCAAATCAAGCAAGGACAAAAAGTACGAATCTGCAAAAGTTAAAAATGTCAGCAAATAGTTCAATGAAAAATCATAATGAATGAGTCGCTACCTAAGAACATTTGGTATGCATGGATGTCAAAAATGCAACACGTGACAAACGTCAAATCATAAGGGTTTTGGAGATGTTCATTAATAACCTGCGACGAAGAATAGGCAGAAAATAATGGAAATAGCACCTCTTAACTGCGAAAATTGCTTGATTTTCCGTCGGGAAGTGATATTTGAAGAATACAATACCGCTCACAGAATGTGCAAAATTTCCGTAAATGTCGCAGAATTCCGAGAATTCCGCGAAGGTTCGCGAAATTCCGGGAATTTTGCGACATTCCCGGAATTTCGCGACATTCCCGAAATTTCGCAAAATTCATGTAAATCACGCAAATTACGCAGGGCCATAACTTCGTTCCGAATGAGTATATTCAAAATCCGAAAACAGCATTGTATTCAGCTCGTCAAGGCGAATCTTTTGGTATACAGGTTGTCTCCAATATCCTCTTTTCAATAATCTTGAATCTGCATGCGGACGTCTGCAAAAAAAAGATGTCTTATGTTAGCACAAAATTTGTGCTATAAAGTGATCTTATTGCTAATAAAAACGCTAATAAAAGCTATAAAGTGATCTGACTGCTTCAGAAAAACGCATCCAATGCAGCTTTACCTTCCCTTTCTAAAGCTTAGCGTTCTAAAATCGTAATTTTCAAATGCTTCTAATTGTAGCTGCCGAAATTTTTGCAGTCGTCATTTCAACCTGCTCATTCGGCTATTTTTCAAAAAATATTTTCGAAGTCTTGCAATGGAGTAGGTGCACAAATGCGGCAAATTTCGGACTTTATATGGGAGTGCCTCAGACTTTTCTGATCTACGTTAGAACTTCAAAAATTTATTTCTTTAAAGATCTCGATTTTTGCTAAGATCAAGGACGCAACTGCAGCAAGGAAATGTTTCGAACTTCTGCTATTGAGTAACATTCGTGCAAATTAATCAAGCTCGATTGTTTCGAGGGACCAGTGTTCTGGAATTTTTGGGATTTCCGTGGGAACGACGTGCCCAAAAAGCCGGTTTTTTCCCAAATAAATGATTGGTTCAAACTTTATAAACTTAACTATGTAATACAAAATGAATGCAATGTTACTAAAGGATTACTCTACATAATAGCTGCTTTGTTGAAATGGCAGGGTGAAATTTTTTGAAAATCGGCGAAAATTTGGTGTCATTGTTGAATTGCTCAAAGAGCCATGGCGATCAGGGCTCCATGAGGTGGCTCTACGAAAATGCAGAAAACAAATTTCCTTGACTTTCCCAAACTTTCCCGAAGTCTCCTTTGACCTTAGCCATTATCCCAAAAATTCTCCAAGGAACGAAACGACGACCAAAAAAAACGTCACGAATTTTATGTCTTTCCGGCCACAAAACGAAAAATTATTTGGTTTTTATTTTTTCATTTTTTCTACACGCGCAAAAAAGTCACATTTTGCGTCCCATATATATCCAAAGAAGTAAGCGCATCATTGCGACAATGTTTGAAAAGAGTAGGATTTGAAGTTTTGGTTACAATTGTTGAACTACCGCCGAATAACTTGAAGACCATCCTAGTTCGCAATCGCTTGTATGTTCGCAATTGCGTTACCCCGAATTGCATAATCTGCCCTGCAAGCAGAGAAGGGGACTGCATGGCAGCTGGAGTCATCTACTTGATTTCATGCGCGATTTGCGGCGATGAATACGTTGGTGAAACAGCGCGTCCACTATATTTCCGTATTAAAGAGCATCTAGACGGCAGAGATAAAGCACGTACATCAACACCCCTAGGCACCCACAGAGTAGTGCAGCATGCAGGAACGAACTTTGAAAATTCTGTGAGAATCTTAGCTCATGGGTCCCAAACGCAAGCACGTAAGTGTTTAGAGGCGTTTTGGATTCATGCAAGAAACCCAAAAATGAATCGGAAAGAGGAAAACTTAGCAATTACGCATGAACTCTCGCCTTATCTTGATCGGTTATTCTGATTTGTTGTATATAAATAGCGGTCTACATACACGTCTAACAAGTCCATCTTCCTCTAGCAGTGGACAACGTGACCTCCACTTTCCTCCAGCAGAGTAGTATCGGCGTATCCAGAAGGTACGTGCTCGAGTGCAGCTGAATCAGTGGTCGAAAACAAGGTTTAGCATTTCGCCTGTTCAGCTGTAAGGCTTGTTCGAATCGGCTGCGGATCGTATTGTTCCTTACAGGCTCTGACGAAGGCGATCTGCCGAAACGTTAGCCGTGGATTGAATAAACCAATTACCAATCTCGTGCGTGGCTCAAAAAGAAAGAACAAAGTATCGATATCATGCCGAGATTTATTGAACGTCGCACTATCCAGTTATTTGGTTTTTGTCCCAAAAACGATATCCAGCTCGCTTACCAAACCACCTGTGCCGAGCCCATGGCGATAACATTACAAAGATTATGATTTTTAAAACACTCAAAGAATTTTTCCGTTCTTTTCTGCGTTTCTAACCCTCCACAAAAAAGATCTCATTGTCAGAAGATTCACGATGTTCTTTTAAAGAAATAATTTTTGGGCTTCACATGTGAGTTTGAAGCATCTTCCAAGTTACCTGTTTCCTACAAAAAAAAATTTGTCAAATTTGCAGTTACTCTAGTGGGAGACTTACGTCGAAAGTGATAAACTTTGCAGCGCTCTTCCACAAATTCTGAAGAAAACCAGAATTGTTGAAAAAGTTCTTGTTCAGCGTTACAAAGCAGCAAAACCTGAAGAACAATATGATCGAATTGGGGAGCGTGTGCTGACTCAAATTTGAAGTCCTAATTAGTTCAGTTTTGGGAGAATTGCAGCAAAGCGATTTTCTCTTGTTATGCAACAAGTCAGAATAGAAAAGGAAAGTAAAAAAATGGAAAAAATTTGTAAAATATGTAGTGAAGGGTGCATTGTCACAGCAAGTAGTTTTAGAGGGCGAGGGCGAACGAGTTATGAGAAATTTCCACCTTGTGAAATTGCATTTGTGCCTGATGTCAGATTTCATCACGTAGCTGTTATATGCTTGGCTAGTTGGATGTTCTTCTATGTGATGAAGAAGGATATGTCGATTTCAATATTTCCCCACCGTAATCCGAAAGAGTAGAAAAAACACGAAATTTGTGAAATATGCACATAAATTATTATGACTGGTAACAACGTAATCAAACTAGTTTCGCAAGACAAGCTGTTGAAGAATTGAACGGTGAAGTTCTCATTCCCAAGGCTCCATTATAGGGAATGGTTTTCATGCTTCGTCGGAAAAACATCCCTGGCTATTGAATCCTACATTATCAAAGCTATAATCTCTATGTGAAAAGGTTTTGCTTGAGCATTATCTGACAAATATGGAAACTAGCCTTGGTAAAAGGCATTTCAATAAATCTCGCAAGCAATAAAAAAGCAATAAAATATAAATGGTATGTAAAACATTGTTGGACACCCATTGCTTCACTCTTACTTTCGCTTTCATACACAGCTGACGAGTCATATACTGTTGTGTAGATCGCAATACGCTAGTTTCAAGTTTGTGTTCCATTCCTGAGAAGCGTTGATCTCGATGGGTTGTAGTTGATTAGTAAACCTTGTAGTGCACCATGGCGCAATGGTTAGCGAGCTAGACTATGACGCAGCATATCCAGGTTCGAATCCTGCCGCGAACAACAGTTTTGCATTCAACAAAATACTTCTTCCTCGAAAAATGTATGTTTTGGGCTCTATTTCGCGAGGAATATTTGAAATTATCGTTCCGGACCTACAAGCTTTGAATGAGTTTTTTTGCATGATCAATGTGATCAATGTCGTCTCCTTGTCAGTCGTAAATTCAACATTCCAGGCTATGAAAGTGTCTTTTGCGCTTCTTTGGGTTTCCATACTGTTTTTGAATACGATGAGCGTGCACTCACACACACTCACTCGTCAGCACAGTAAGAAGTTTCCAAGATGGATGATAGATCCAAGATATTCTGAAGAAGGTAAGCGTTCCGTCCAATTCAAAATTTTTATGGAGATTCTTTATTGTTAGCAATTTTGAAGCATTATTTGTCATTCCAGAAGAAAAGCTTGAGAAGCAAATCCTAGATGGCAAGTGGGAACATATGCGGGAAGACTGATGTCTCAAGTATCTGCTATAGTTAACAAACCTTCGGACTTATGAAAAAAATGAAGCAAATTATCTCAAATAATTGGATTGTGCTTAAACCAAAATCAAAGAAGAAACAAAAAAATGAAAAAAGAATCAAAAATGTCAGCAAAAACTTTGAAATCTGAAAAATGTTAATAAACGAGTTGCTACCTGGAAAATCGAAGTCCTTTGAATGCTTAGTGATGATCCGAAGGATAGATAGTAGTAAAATTCATGGAAATACCATACCCTGGCTGGGAAATCTCAATTTCGAGTCAGAGAAGAGTGATATTGGAAGAATGCTTTATAAAGTGTAGAAAAGAAATCATAGCTAAGAAATCAAAGAGGAGAAAATTTTTTAGGTTGGAATCTCATATGTCTTGCGCAAAAATTCCAAAAAGTCTGTTGAGGATGCTTGAAGACCAAATTTGTTCAATGTCATTTTATACAAAATTAAAATATAAAAAATAGTTTGATATATGCCGTGTTGAGACGGAGGTCGTTCCAAAAGTTTTATGTTTTTTGAGAGTCCATAAAACCTGTTACAGTAGAGATCTAAAACTGTTGGAAAATGTTTTCGATACAGCTTCTCTATCTCTTTTTGAAGTTTAATTTTTTTCAAGTCATGATCATTGAAATGACTCTAGATAACTGACAAAAATTTCTCATCTGTCATTTCTATATACTCAAGGTTCGGCTATTTTTGGATTCATTTCAAATTATCGGAAAGGAGTGGGTATAATACAAGTAGAGCAAATGTCGAACCGTATGTAGTGGTTTTGAATTCTTCTAATCTGCTCTTTACGGCTTCAAATTGCGCTAATACCATGAAAGACGCAACTGCAGTAAAAACGTGAAGGCCTACGAACTTCTGCTATTAAACATGTGTTGGATTTCCACCTTCGGTGTCCCCATGAGCTAAACGTGCTTTAAAAAGACGGGATTTTTTCCAATTGGATGATTGATTCAAACCTCAAACTCAACCTATGTTGAGTGTAATGCAGCCGATTTACTCTACATAACAGCTGCCAATGCTTCTTTATAAAGGCAGAATGAATATTTTCAAAAGGGAAAAATTTTAGTATCATTGTTGGTTTACCCAAAGAGCCATTATGATGACATTGCAAAAACTACACAGATCTGTGAGAAGATGTAGCTGTAACTGCAATCTTATACCTTAGCCAAAAAGTAAAACCAAAACAAAAGTTGAAATTTTGACTTTTTGAACATTCAATCATTTTCAGCGACCAAAATTTGAAAAAATGTAAGTATGAGAGAATCGCACGCAAAGACTACACGCCGTTTCGTCTGACTAAGCATAAGATAGTTCGCGTATTTGAGAGACAGCAGACGGCAAGAGCGATGATAGAGCGCTCAATCAGCGAGACGCCGACGGTGACCGCAGTGACGCCCTATCTTTGCGTGCGATGAATGACCCATTAGTCTTTTCTTTTACTACATTGTAATCTTTTAGCACTAATTGAGAATTCATGTCTTAATCATATCAATTTCTAAATTACGAACATGAGGACACTTTAACAATTTATTTCGTTCTTTTCTCCGTTTCGTAATTTTCCCAAATTGAATAATTTCATAAGATTAGAGTTTTTGGGGTGGCGGACTTTATGAACGATAGCGCGAGCTTAGGCAGGCGTGTGTCAATAAGGTGCGCACCGTTAGCCCCGCCTATCGCAAGATGGACGAGTTTTTTGCAGTACAGCTCTAGCGCTGGTTCATGGCCATGTTCCCTAGTCAAGTGAAAGCAACTTCTGATAGTGATATAAGCTTGTTGCAAGCTTTGGTGAATTATTTACAGAATTTTTTTTTGCTTCCTTGTTTCATTATTTGCCAGTCACGAAAGCTATTTTGATCAGGAAATTCAAGAGATTTGCTGATTTATCTATGAATGACCGAGTGACTCCTGGATATCCAACTTTGAAGTGTGAAATCAATCTAGAACACCTCAGGCATGATTGTCTAAGTGACCTCACATCTTACGACTACTTCACCGCAATTTCTTTAAGTTACAAATCAATTTATACTGAGGGTAGCAGTTTTTGAAATCAAACAAAAGAATTTTGTCATTTAAAGCAGAATCGAAAAAATATAAGTGCAGTGTGATTTTCCTTTTCCTGAAATCTGAAAAAGTTTGTGTGATATGACCGCATATTCGCAAAACGAGTGATATCTGACGTATGAAACATTACCAAATGTAATGATGTACACAAGTTATTGAATAGTTTGCCTTGAAACAAAATTCGCCTATAATGCTTATTTTGAATTCTCCTCGCAATGAAATCTGTTTTTAGCTATGATTAGGGTTTCAAAACTTACTTTTCCGATAAAATAGATAATCGTGTTGGTCATTTCAGCAATGATAATAATATTTCTCGGTAAGCTGACCCCTTTTTGAATTAAACTTGAGAGTGCACAATGAAAATGTGCATAAATAATTAAACTTGAGATTGCTACCAGGAACAAATAACTGAAATACATTGAAAAGAGCTTGCGAACTAATTTATAATGAAAAAAGTCCTGAAACTGATTTTTAATTTAATTGAAGTTTTGAAATCTACTGTTAACCAAATTGCAACCTACAGAAGCATGAAGGAAATATTAGAGAGTTTTCCAATTGCTGAGCGCATTCCTAGGCTAATTAACAAGGGGGCGGAGCGATCAGCGCATCGTGTACGGTACCTAGCTGGCGGCTGGCATATGCTATCGTTCATAAAGTCATACACCCGAGTTTTTGATGAAGTTCTGCGCTTTGTGTAAATTTGAAGCAAATTGCAAAGTTGCAGGCTCTTTAAAAAGAGCTTTGTTGAAATCGCAATTATTTTGGTGCAGGATTTGAGTTCAATATAAAATGGGGGATGCCTCTTCCACAATAATTGAATGAAATGGAGTTGCTATAAAAATTTTCGTCTAGTGTCAGTAGCAGCAAAACTTTGCGAATAATGAATTCGGACGGGAAATGTGCGTGACTCGAACCCTCCTAATTAATTCAATTTCGGGAGAATTGCAGTAAGGATTTTTTCTTGGCATGCAACACGTCAGGATAAATGGCCGAAAATTCTGCCCTAGCTTTTGGAGCTGAGGTGCCAATGCTTGAGAAGAAGATGATCTGAATTGCAATATCTCCTTACCGTAATTCAAAAGTATAGAAAAAACCACGAAGTTTGCGAAATATGCACATAATTTATTTACGACTGTTAACAACGTAATCAAATCAGCTTCGCAAAACAAGTTATCAAAGAACTGAATTGGGAAGTTCCCGTTCCCACGGACTCCATTATAGGGGAACTTTTCCCATGTTCCGTCGGAAAACATTTCTGCTATCGAATTCTACATTATCAAAGCCGAATTCTGGTGTGAAAAGGCTTCGCCTGAGCATTATCTGACAAAGTGTGGAAGATAGCTCGAGATATGTTGATGAAGTCTCATCAAAATATAAATAAGTATGCAAAAAGTTACTGGACACCCATCAGTCTATGCTTATTTACTTTTTTCACATACACATCCGACAAAGTCTGATTTTCTACTTTGCAATAGACTTTGCAATAGTTTTTTCTTACACTCAAAGGAAACCAGGAGATCGTGGCCATTTGAAATAAGTTATAAATTATTGTGTAGGTCTTGAGACGCTCATTTCAAATCTGTGTTCCAATTGTGCGAAGCCTTCATCCAGACAGTGTTATAAGCATTTTTTCCGCGAACACCTGAGGTATGTAGCAAGTACGATGAGACCAGCAATGCAGCATGGTGCAATGGTTAGTGGAGAAGGCTCTGGCGCAATATAAGCAGGTTCGAATCCTGCAGCGCGTGGCAGTTTTGCATTTGTTCCAAAACACTTCCTGAAAAAAATTTTTAAATTATTGTCTTGCTGATGTAGATCATTTGAAATCATCGTTCTAGACTTACACAACAAGGGATGAATTCTTTTAATGGGTCACGCTCACTTAGTATGAATCCTTAGTTCTTCATAAAATTAAAATTTCAGGCTATGAAAGTGGCTTTTGCGCTATTTTGGGTTGCCATACTGTCTCTGAATATGATGAGTGTGCACTCATACCCGACTTTTGAATCAGGAGAAGAGCAGATGAGGCATAAGATTGCAAAAGTAAGCATTCTTTCCGATATAAAACATTTTTGGAGATTCTTTCTTGTTAGAAATTTTTGAGCATTATTATCTATTTTTTTGGCATTGGAACAGTACAAAAGAAGGTTTCTCGAAAGGATGAGAATGACTACAAAAGGATGATGAGCGATTGGGCTTACATGCAATAAATTTTCTTCACATGCTCGAGAAAGGTGTTTAGATAGAGGATTGATGACTTAACTATTTGCTATAGATTTACGGACATCCTTTAAATATCTAAGAAAAATTATGCAAATTATGGATGATTGGGTTACGCATGAATTGCAAGGATGCGTCAGCGAAAAGTTCGAACTCTGGAAAATGTGATAAATGAGTCGCTATTCAAGAAAATTTATATCTACGAATAACAAACATGTATCAACGTCAAATTATCAAAACGAAATGCTTAGTAATAATCTGCGGCGAAGGGTAGGCGGATAAACCATGGAGATAGCATATTTAAGTTGGACAATTACGTAAATGAAAAATGATTCGATCCGACAAAACGTCACAAAAGCTGAAAGTCTTCATGAATTCCATGGTACAGGAAGTGATTATTGGAAGAAGATTTCATCAGGTGTAAAAAGAAAACCGTGAATGAGAAATTGAAGAAGAGCGGATTATTGGGTTGGAACATAAGTCTCGCCCAACTCCGAGAAAAACATTTGGTCGAAAATGCTTGGAGTAATCCATATGTTTTGTAGAAAGTTAGAATTTGAAAAAAAGAGGCTCGGAAGTTACTCGGAAGATATTTTAGGGCGAAATTAGGTTTTTTCAAAAGCTGTCGGTTTTCTTCGAGTATATAAAACCTTGTACAGTAGTAGATGTTTTTAAAATGCGTTGACAGCTTCTCCTTCTTCTGAAGGTTG